GCAAAAAATAATGATGTACGACCTTCTGGACCGAAGAACGTATTGTGCTACCTGACTCTTTTATTAATGTAGTCAGTTTAGTAAAAATTAACTAGTTTTTAACAGAATCTTTAAGAAGAAATATTTTTTTTATATTTTAATAGGTGTTTTAAATGTGTGGTAGTTAGTTGTAGTAAGTGATACAGGAAACATATTTATTGAGTTATTTTTGTTTTATACGAAGAAAACCTTTTCGCCAGGCCAGACTATCGATTCAATCAAATGTATTATTTATTTGTTGGGGGTTCCATGTTTGACGATAAATCAGTATGACTCACCGTGGGCCAGTGGTCAAGCCTCCCCCTTGCTTTTAACCATGAAAATGTCCACCGCCCCTTTGCGAGGGTGTGTGCCTGAAGGGGATAGGGCAGGAATTTGTAATCTCGTGTCAGATAATACTCTCGGACAGACGGATCGCGACCTCATTAGTAAAGGGCCATTTGTAGCACTCCGGTCATGCGTGACCCGCAATCCGATGAACTACTTCTAATAAACGTAATTCTCGTTTAATTCACAATGCATGTTAATCTAGGATCTATTGTGGAAAACAAACTCAATAGTTGAAACATTGGTGCGAGGAAGAAAAATAGTGTTAATGGTGAAAGCGTCATTTTGAGAAAGATATGTTATGGTTGTCAGGGATATGGTCTTTCTAACAATGAATTACTATTATAACGTATGTGTGATGATTAGTGACCGTTTGTCGATGATTATTCGGACATCGTGAGATGCGGTCTGGTATGATATAGGTTTCAGAAAAACATTTTCCTTATCGTGCCAACGTTTCGATCTTTATTGAGATCATCTTCAGGGCCTCGGATTTACAAACATTGTTTAAATTTAACAAATACATGTAGGATGTGGAAAAAAGTGAATTTATACAATGCAAAAAATATGTTTTATACTCAATCAAAGTATTTCTTGGTTCTTTCTATATACGCAGAAAACAAACACTTTGAGTGAGTAGAAATACTATGATTGAATGTAAAAAATATTTTTTGCATTGTATAAATTCATTTTTTTCCACATCCTACATGTATTTGTTAAATTTAAACGATGTTTGAAAATACCAGGCCCTGAAGATGATCTCAATAAAGATCGAAACGTTGGCACGATAAAGAAAATGTTTTTCTGAAACTTACGTCATACCAGACCGCATCTCACGATTTCGGAGTACTATTACAACTTTGCCAAACTTTCCATCTTTTATTTGATCTTTATTAGGGCTCTACAACAATTATATTCACAAAAATAAATTTAAAATTGGACGGATGAATATTTCATTTATAAATATAAATAACTATTTCAATTAATTAACATTTTTATGTAAGGTTTCGGTTGAAATGATATGTTGATCAAAGTCACGATAGCTGAAGTGGTTAGTGCAGCGGCGCATTGAGCCAAAGGTCGTGGGTTCGAATTCCGCTCGTGGCACTTTTTCATTTCAACCAAAACTTTACATAAAAAAATTAATTAATTGAAAGAAGTAATTTAGTCAATAGACCACTAAATATAATGGATTTAATAAATAACTATGTTGGCTTAATTACAATGACATTATGTTGGTAAAATGCCTCCTCATCAGTTGGTGGTCATAATATTTCAAGACATTTACATTTGGTACTCTCCTGATTTTAAAAGTCATTAATAAATATCCCAATTAATGATTCTTTTTATCTACACTTTTTGGTTGAGAGCCACGAGCAGGATTCGAACCCACGACTTTCGACTAAATCTTTCATCTTAACCACAAACCGTAGATAAAATGAATAATTAATTAGAATAATAAATATGGTCAATTATGCACCACTAAGCAAATATGGATTAATTTATGAATAAATGTAATAAGTAAACGGTAGGCGCGTTTTATAGATAAGGTAACAATACATTATCTTATTAATATTGTAGAATGCACGGTTCAGAGACCAAAGATAATATATTATTACCTTTATATATATATAAGTTATCGGATATTATCAGATTGCAATGCTAAGATGCAGGTGGCATTCTCAGAATTGCAATCAGCACTCTCTCCCACCAGGGAAACGTAATTGTTTATAATTTAAAATGTAAGAACATTCCTTGCCTAGAAACCAGTGAAGTCACATCATTGTAATTGGTAAACTTAATTATTCTTTGTCAACTGTATTTCGCAAATAAAGTTTTTAAAAAGGAATCAACCAGCGAAGTTGACTTTTTTTTTTTTTTTTTTTTTTGGCGTTATGAACTATGCATATTAGCCATGTGACAAAATCGTATATGTGTATTCAAATTTGGGGGGTTATTGGGAAAAAAAAGCCAGGGGCAACGGTGGGAATCGAACCCACGACCGCGGCGTGAGAGTCTCTCATGCTAACCACTCGGCTACCGCCAATTACACCATTTGAAATAACGCTAAATTTGCTGTAAGATACTTCTATTTGCAATGATCTGAATGACATAAAATGTTAGCCAATATCAGTTGGAACATGTCGAAATTACAAAATTTAAAATTTGGTCGTGATTGCACTTCTACTGAGGTTACTAAAAAATACCTATAACTTGTCAAATTTTACAAAAACTTCTTCATCTAATATGCTTTATGTTGATATATCCAGGTTTTTAGATGACTTTCTAGTAGAGTTGAAAAATAACAATTGAATGTTCGAAAACGTTAGCTAAGGTATATTTGAAGGGGGGGGGGTAAAAATAAAAGTATGGGAAAGTAGAGGACTTTGCTAACCACACAACCGTAAGAGACTGTCATGAACAAGTACGACCGGAAGAAATTGCATTTAGTATGTAGAATATAGTAGTTCTATATTTACTATTTTATAATTTGTTCTCCTATCTCCTTGTTGTTTCACATGCTTTGACAAGGTTTAGCATGACTCATCGATTATATTATCAGTTCGTACCTGACGGACAGTTTAGAGTCAAACGAGAAGATCAATATTAAGAATTAAAAAATGCAGGAGTGTCAGAAGGTAGTAAAATAGATGGATTTAAAATAGCAACGTTGGCAGATGGCACAGAAGTGATATCAGTACGACGGACCATCGACCATTTATCCAAAATCCTCCAAAAGGCTTGGAACAAGATAAACGAATGGACAAAAAACTGGAAAAATCAGGCTTAAACAGCATATCTGTATATATATACATTTTACAAATAAATATGTGTATATCGTGTTCCGTCTCTCACGATCGTTGGACTGGAATATGTGGGAATGATCTTAGATGCCATGCTGAGATTGAAGAAGCATGTGAAGAAAAAAGGACAGAAATTTTAGAGACAGAATATAGACAACTCCATTACAGTTCGTGGTCCGATTGACAAATTAAGTTTTTTAAATTAATTAATCTTTATGAAAGGTATTAGTTGAGATAAAAATGTCAGTGTCACGAGCGTGATTCGAACCCACGATCTTCGGCTAAATAAGCCGCTGCTCTACCACTTCAGCTATCGTGACTTCGATCCGCTCGGACACTAACTTCCCATCTCAGCCCCACCTTTTGAATTTTCCCTCCTTTTTGCCATTTTTCCAATGTCGTGTTATCTATTTGATTCATTAAGTCTAAATTGATATGACATGCTGAGAAAATGTAATCACTTATTAAACCCATTACAGTTCGTGGTCCGATTGACCAACTAACATTTTTCAATTAATTAATATTTATGAAAGGTATTGGTTGAGATAAAAAAGCCAGTGTCACAGCGGGATTCGAACCCACGACCTTCGGCTCGGACACTAACTTCTCATTTCAACCCCACCTTTTGAATTTTCTCTCCTTTTTGCCATTTTCAAATATCGTGTAATCTATTTGATTCTCGGCGACAAATGAAATGGCCAGGAGAGCTTTAGTGAAGGTATACTTTATTTTAACTGATTAAATTCACTCGTTTTCGTGGTCCGCTTGACCAATTAATATCTTTCAATTAAGTGCTGTCAAAGTTGAGGTTGAGATGGGAAGTTAGTGTCCGAGTGGATCTAGGTCACTGTAGCTCAAGTGGTAGACCAGCGGCGTATTTGGCCGAAGATCGTGGGTTCGAATCCTGCTCGTGACATTGACTTTTTTATCTCAACCAATACCTTTCATAAATATTAATTAATTGAGTATTCACTATTTTTAAACAGTTTTATGAAGAAGGAACGTCTAATAAAATTTATATGTTTACATGTAAATAAATCAATAGATCTAAGATCAGTAAATCATGAATATTTTTCGAAAAACAAATTGTTTTTTTGTCTTTGCCGGATTTTTTTTTGTATATATATTTTTGTTTGTTTGTATTTATTGTTACCAGAATCAGGCTGAATATAAATGGGTTATTTAGATAGTTTTTGTATAAATATATTTTTCTTGTAATCGCTTCATTTATTCGAGGTTGGGATTCATCGAAATATATCAAGCTCCAGTAGAGTTTAAAATCAAACAACAGGATAATTGTGACTATACACACATTTATTAAATGATAGAACATATAAAATAAATTAATTATGCTAGACAAGTTCATTTACAAAAATATCGATTCTACACACATGCCCCACATCAATCGACGGGCAAAGTTAAACTCTTCAAAACCCACGATCCAAAAGTCGAGGTCGGGCAGGAACGACGTTTATATATTCAGTAGAATAATTTCTTTATTAGTTCAATATCATTAATTAAATCGTGGTTCCTAAATTTGGTACAACGGGCATATAAAACGTCTATGTCCTAAGACGCTAAAATTGGATGATATGTCGTAAGTTTGGGTTACATCTACAAAGTTCAAACTATGCTTCAATTATTATTACGATTATTAAAAACTCTAGAATTATTCTTTATCATATCATATATATATTCGTAAAAAATTTGGATGCCTGAATGTCTCAGACTGACTTAATCGTAGTATTTGGTAAAGAACTAGAAAGAAAAGTACCTGAAGTCAGGCGAGGAAGACAAATCATAGGAAAACATAAAAAACTCACAACCAACTAAACGCAGCTTATCTAATTGAACTTATAGCTGTCTTTTACTTTATACAAAACACCCGTAATCTTCCGAAATCATGTCGATATAATTGAAATAAAACAAAACATACAATTGCACTTAAATAAATAACGAAAAATGTTTCTGTTTCAAAAATAGTTGCCGTAGAGACGACATGTTGAAAACAGGTATAAACAGAAAATTATAGTGTCTGACTAGCATGGGTCTCCTTAATATTAACAATTTTCTATCAATTATATAAGAAAAGAGAAACGTATTTACACGGATGTTATACTATAAACATAAAGTAATAGTAGACTGTCTTTGGATAGAAACGTTGGGTAACTTAAAATTAATTTTTAAAAAACTTTTGAAAAGAGATGTAGAATTTACAAATGAGATGTTCTTGCGATATGTAAGAAAAATGAGACTTTGTCCGAAGTCTGCTGCCCGCACATGTTGCAGGTGAACGGGTCTTGGTAGCCGTGGTAGCCCATGTGCATGGTGTACATGACGATGTCTTTGAAGGAGATGTCGCAGAAAGAGCAGTTGTACTCGTCCGTTTTTTCCGCTTTGTCCGTCTTCGGCTGTTCGCTGTCAGCTTCGCAAGATTTTACTTCGGGTGATTTGCACTCTTCAGGGTAGAGGTCGGGCTTCGTGACGATCTGTTCAGGTTCTTCATCGCTCTGCGACTGGAGGAGAAGAGGTATCCGTTCCAGTTTGAACGCCTTTCCTTTTCGCCTGTTCTTCAGCACCGGCGTCTCCACTTGTGTCGTGGAATGTTTGTCTGTCTCGCCCCTGTCGGAACAGGTCAAATCCAGTGGAGTTTTAATCTCGTCTTTTGTCTCTTCCGTGATCTCTTTTTCGACGTTGTTGTTTTTCTCCTCGACTTTCATCTCTTGGGAGAAAGGAAACGGCGTGAGACCGTTGAGCAGGTTGTAATAGGGCATTTGAGTCGGCAGAAGGCTGTACGGATTGAACATGGGCATGGAGACTTGCTGTTGCTGCGGAGGGGCTGATTTTTCCGGAGATATTTTCGGTTTTTGTTTCGGGCCGCGCTTTGTACCGTAAACGTCCACGATAGGAAGGGGGTTCGGCGAGCCGTCCGGGTTGAGGACCATCGCCGGGTTGTGGTTGTACTTTCTCAAGTGGAGCTTGAGGCTGTGGCAGTACTTTGTCGCGTACGTGCAATCCGCGCAACGGAACTGGTAGACGTTGCTGTGACTCTTCAGATGCGAGTTTAGCATTGATTTGTTGACGCATGAGTAAGAACACTTGTCGCACTTGAACGGTTTAGAGCCAAAATGATTTCTGAGGTGGTATTCCAGGTGGTGCTTGTACTCGGTGACAAACGGACATTTGGGGCAATTAAGGATCCTCTCTTGTTTGATGTGAGACCTGGAATGCTCCCAAAATTCTAGCTTTGTCACGGCCGAAAAGTCACACTGCTTACATCTGAACGTTTTCACTTTTCCCTGGCTGTTCACCTTCGGCGTATTCAGTCCCGGCTCGTCGTCGATCCACATATTTTCGTCGTCGCAGTCGTGGACCGATTTCATGTGCTCTCTCAACTTGTCCGCCGTTTCACCGTTAAAATCGCACATGTTACACTTCGTCTCGTGAGATACCAAGTGTTCGTTGAACTGAGACCTTTCGAAAAAATAAAAAAACGTGTTAGCAAAATTGTAAAATACTTAAATTTTTAAATTCTGTACCTTATATTGCAGAAAAACTCGCACATAGGACATTGCAACTTTTCCTCGGGCATCATGCCCGTCCTCTGCAAGGCCATTTGCAGCCGCCTGAGAGAATCGCCGTTCTCAAAGTACTCGTTTTCCGAGTTGGAGCTCTGAGATCCTCCGTCCTGGATGTCGTTCTTCTCGGCCTGTTCCTGGCACGGCGAGGGTATCGACCCGGGAGGCGTGAGCCGGGGAGATTTCGACTCGGGACCCGCCGCCGGAGGAGATTCTTGAGAAGGCATGTTCTTGAAGTTCTGCGGAGACGTCGATGCCGGGTAGTCGGACTGCGGGGTTGGAAAACTGTACGGCGTGTTAAGTCCGGGAGGGGTCAGAGGTGACGTGAAACAGCTTTTGTCGGACTTTCCAACGTAGCCGTATTCCCCGTCGTCTCTAGGTTCTTGTTTCTAAAATAAATTCAGAACGTGAGCACATCATCGAAATCAAATACACTTCTTAAAAATCACAAAAGTACAAATTAAGAAATCTTTTTAACTCATTGATTCACACATTACAAATGTATGCTGCTCTAGATACCAACGTTATAATTTTCATATTTAAAATTAATGTAATAATAAGTATTGAAATAATAATGTTAAAGAACCAAATCTCATATATTTATTTAAACTGACATGTATATAATAAAAAGGTATAAAAAAAAAAAAAAAAAAAAAAAAAAAAAAAAAAAATATATATATATATATATAGTGGCTAAAAAGTTAATCAAATATAGAAAAAAAAGAGTCGATCAGCAGTAAAATGGCATAATAAAAAATCCAAAAATTCACGGCAAAGCGTAACATTTCCATTGGAAAACTTGACAAAAACCAAAGTTGATTGCATATTACCACAAATATCACGACTATTTATTGCCCTTTAAAATTCATATTAAGTCTTGCAGGCTTCAACATTACAAAAATTTGGAAAGCGATTATTACTAAAAAAAAATATAAAAATTGATGGTACATCTAAAGAGAAAAAATTGCAAAGAGATGGTTCATAATAACATAAAAAAAGACAACACGGAATGACTTTTAATCCTTTTATAATTGACTTTTATCCTCCCAGTTGCGCTGAGCCGTTTATATATTTATTTAATAGGGCGAATTTTATCAGGCGTGCTACAATACTATTTTGAAATTTTCGTAATATTCTTATTAAGACAGTCTAGTGAAATGTTGAAATATTATAATTTTAAATTATTATTTCTAATTAGATAATAAAGCGTAAACTTTTAATCGAGTCGTATCGTACTATTTATGAACTTTTATAATAGTATCTTTATTAGAAACTTTGTGCCTGATCCTAGATAATTATTTTTATTAACAACAATTTAACAATTATTAAACATTGTTCAGTGGGAAATATTGAGTACACGTTTACCAATTGGCGTAATTGTTTTTAATACTTTAAAAATACATAATACTACATGTTATGTTTGTAAAAAAACAAACAAAAAAAAACTAAAATCTAAGACAAAAATATTTTAATCTTTTAATAATGGACTTTTATTCTTGTAGCATCGCCTGAACTTGGTAAATCGTGTTAAATTAAATTTACACTTGTATAAACATTTTATTGTGGTTTGGGAGCTCCGAAGGTAAAAAAATAATACCTGCCAATTTCGTACGTTCGGGACTTTTAATCTTTCAGTCAATGATTTTCATTTAAACAATAGATTAAAAGAAGATAAGTGGATATTCTATATTAAAAAAATGAAAAAGAATCGCTGAGCTCCCATTGAATATATCACGATGATAAACTACAAACTATAATAATTTAGAAAAAATAATGAATAATTTTGTATTTTTTTAAATGTCTATTTAGAAATCGTGAGATGCGGTCTGGTGTGATGTAGGTTTCAGAAAAACATTTTCTTTATCGTGCCAACGTTTCGATCTTTATTGAGATCATCTTCAGGGCCTGGTATTTTCAAACATCGTTTAAATTTAACAAATACATGTAGGATGTGGAAAAAAATGAATTTATACAATGCAAAAAATATTTTTTACATTCAATCATAGTATTTCTACTCACTCAAAGTGTTTGTTTTCTGCGTATATAGAAAGAACCAAGAAATACTTTGATTGAGTATAAAACATATTTTTTGCATTGTATAAATTCACTTTTTTCCACATCCTACATGTATTTGTTAAATTTAAACAATGTTTGTAAATCCGAGGCCCTGAAGATGATCTCAATAAAGATCGAAACGTTGGCACGATAAAGAAAATGTTTTTCTGAAACCTACATCACACCAGACCGCATCTCACGATTTCGGAATAATCATCGACTAACGATCACTAACCACCACACATTTCTACACGTAATTAATGATGAAATAATTAATTATTATAAATATTTAATTTCTATTTCTTTGTATACATGAAATAAATAGAAAGGAACTATTAGTGGTCTTATCACTTAAACTATATATTTTTTTTGTTATAATCGATTTTCAATTACTTCAATGGCTTGGTTTGGCCAAAAGAAACGGCGATGATAGACGGACCAAAATGATCCAGGATTAAACCGTTGACTTTTTTCTATGTGTTCTTTCATCGTAATAGGTCCAAATTATAATTTCAGCGTTTGTATAATAACGAGAATAATGAGGGATAATTCATGACGATTGTTTATTCCATATTTAAAATAATTATAAAATACGACACGATGACTGAATCCTTTTCACGCACTGAACGCATACAAACCAGCCGAACTTAATGCAATGCTTATTTGAAGAAGAGAAAAAAATTTAACCATTGAAATGGAATATCTGATTTTTTTTTTCCAATCCAAAAATAGACAGAGAAATAAAATTTTCCAAGTGTTTTATAAATAAAATGATAAATTTAGGCAGAAACTGAATGTTTCTACAATATCCTCTCTTTATATACTTTAATACACATCGAAACCTCTTTAATTCTTAATAAAATAATAAACATTTATAATACACAATATTGAATAGTATAACAGCACTATTGAATATTATACAACAAAACACTGTAATACTATAGAAAGCCCACTTAGTTATATTAATATTCATAATGAGACAGATATGTCTTAAATATAGCTTTTAAAGGATCGTACTTACTCAAAATATTCAAAATCCATATCGATGTTCTTGGGAAGTTATTAAATAAAAATTTATTTAATAAAAAAACAAGAAATGGTCAGCCCGCCTGTTGTTTCTAAAAGGTCGACATAGGATGAGGCTTAAAAAGTTATCAGATAAAAACGGTTTTTGTAACAAAACAAAATAACACGGGATGTAAACAGTAAGCCTATTTGAAATAATAATAATAATAATATTCAGTCAAGTTTTGAAAAATGTATGAGTAACATTAATAAATAGACAAAGGGCATTGGATGAAAACAATTAATTTTTGAATTTTTTTTTTAAACCGTTGAATTTTATTTATTCAACGTATAACATATATTTATGGCTTATATATATTTCAAGGATATAAATAAATATAAAGTCAGGCAGTTTCATTTGTTTTAAATAATATGCAGAACATCATGTTATGTTACAACTGTTAATGAATTATTATGAATAACTCTATAGAAAGAAAGACCATTTAAAAATTGTTAAATATTTAAAATATAATAAGAAAGAGTTTCTTAGCGGTTTGACCCTGGATCATCGTTTGACGTTGACAAAATAATTTACCAACCAAGATAGTCCAAAATGATTAAACGACACAGATCAGGATAATACTAATTTTAAATTCACTAATTTCGTGGTCCGCTTGACCAATATCTTACAATTAATTAAGGTTATCAGTTGAGATAAAAAAGTCAATGGCACGAGCGGGATTCGAACCCACGACCTTCGGCTAGATACGCCGCTGCTCTACCACTTGAGCTATCGTGACCTCGACAACTCGGACACCAACCTCCCATCTCAAAATTCAAAAGGTGTGGTTGAGATGGAAGGTTGGTGTCCGAGTGGATCGAGGTCACGATAGCTCAAGTGGTAGAGCAGCGGCGTATCAAGTCGAAGATCGTGGGTTCGAATCCCGCTCGTGCCATTGACTTTTTTATCTCAACTGAAAACCGTAATTAATTGTAAAATATACACAACGATACCGTTCTTCCCTAGCAGTATTATATACTCTTTTACTGACTCATTACCGTCTAATCCTATTTAAACATTTTTACATAGTCTAATTTTTCAACGTAGGTTTCAGAAAAACATTTTCTTTATCGTGCCAACGTTTCGATCTTTATTGAGATCATCTTCAGGGGTCAAAGTGTTTGTCTTCTGTGTAATTGTGCTATTCTTGCGTGTCGTGTGCCCCAAGTCTTTGAGCCCTGAAGATGACCTCAATAAAGATCGAAACGTTGGCACGATAAAGAAAATGTTTTTCTGAAACCTACGTCAGACCATACCGCAACTCACGATTTCCGAATAATCATTCGGTCACTAATCACCACACAGTAGTATAAAATGTTTCAAATATGCAAATTTATGCAATATTGGTTACCAATTAATATATTACAATTAATTAAGGTTTTTTAGTTGAGATAAAAAACCTTAATTAATTGTAACTAATTTTAAACTGACATTTCTTTCTTTGTTTAAAAACAAAAGAATGTGACCGGATGGGAGGAAAATATTCTAAGGCAAGCTTAACCACAGAAAAAATATTTATAGTTGAAAAGTTGAAGGATTTACAGTTTCTAATAAGTAAACCGAAATTTCCAAAAGCATTGGAAAAGATCATATTGCTATGCGATGAGAATTTTAATTGGGTGGTCGAGATTTACAGATTTACAGTTAGAGATGTTAATATGTAGTAGATTGGGTCCAGGGGTAAAAAATTTCCACATTTTTTGTAATCATCGAGTATCTTCAATGCATGAGTTTTATTCATTTTAAGATCTTCTGTAAATAGCTTTAATTGAATATATTCGAAAGAGCTTAAGAATATAATTTATGAATAATTCAAAGAGAATAGGGCTAAGTTGTGATCCTTGGGAGATTCCAAGGACTCATTGAATTGATACCAGTAATTTTAACAAATAATTTTCGATTACTTAAGAAGCTTTAGAACCATTTTAATAATTTTCACAAAATACCTAGCCTTCAAATTTAGGTTGAACATTTTATCGAATTTAGCTGAATAGTAAAATTTAATAATTGGCCCTATAATTATTCAAAGATTATTTTTTATAATTGTTTATACGCTTTTTTGAAGCGAAAATTCGAGGGGCAGGTACATATACAGATTTTGCATATAGGTAAGTTTTGTTAAGTTGTACCGTGGACCATTCGAGATCCACCAGGAAAAGACCAAAGAAATAATGAGAATCTAATAAATTTAAAACATTATTTTAGGAATAATGTTTCAAAATTTTAACAATTATTGTTTTAAAGGACTATCATAATCCCAGGAAAAAAACTAAACGACAG